ATGTTGGCCAGGATGCAGAAAAAGTTGAACCCTCTTACACTGTTGGTGGGGATGCAAACTGCTGCAGCCACTCTGAAAAACAGTATGGAGGTTCCTCAAAGAGTTAAAAATAGAACTACCCTATGACCCAGCAATTACACTACTAGGTATTTAAAAAATTTTTTTTTCAACGTTTATTTATTTTTGGGACAGAGAGAGACAGAGCATGAACGGGGGAGGGGCAGAGAGAGAGGGAGACACAGAATCGGAAACAGGCTCCAGGCTCTGAGCCATCAGCCCAGAGCCTGACGCGGGGCTCTAACTCACGGACCGCGAGATCGTGACCTGGCTGAAGTCGGACGCTTAACCGACTGCGCCACCCAGGCGCCCCGTTATTTAAACAAAGCATACAAAAATACTGATTCAAAGGGGCACATGCACCCCAATGTTTATAGCAACATTACCAACAATAGCCAAATTACGGAGAGAGTCCACATGTCCATCGACTGATGAATGGATGAAGATAGATATATATATAATGGAATATTACTCAGATATCAAAAAGGATGATATCTTGCCATTTGCAACAACATGGATGGAGCTAAAGTGGATTATGCTAAGTGAAATAAGTCAGTCAGATAAAGAAAAATACCATATGACTTCATTCATATTTCTCATTTTTCTCTGTTATTTCTTTCCTCTACTAAATCTCAGCTAGCTTTCTTCTTTTTCTAGTTCCTGGTGGTGTAATGATAAGTTGTTTAATTGAACTATTTTTCTTAATGTAATCATTTACAGCATAAATTTCACTCTACCATTTGCTTTTGCTGCACTACATAAGTTCTGGAATACTGTGTTTCCTTTCTTCTTTGTTTTGAGACATATTTTGATTTGCTGTTTGATTTGTTATTTGGCTTCTTGCTTGTACAGTAGTTTGTTGTTTAATATATACATATTATATATTTAATATTTACATTGTAGTTTTTCCAGCTTTGTTTATTGTTGATATTCAATTTTGTACCATTGTGGTTGAAAAATATACTTGACAAGATTATAGCCTTCTTAAAATTGTAATATTTGTTATTTCCTGTTTATGTGATTTAATCAGGGGATTCTTCTGTGTATACTTGAAGAAAATGTGTATTCTGTTTTTCTTGGATGGAATGTTTTATATATATATTTTAGAACTGTGTATTAAGAATTATGATTCAAGTAAAAAATGCTCTTTCTGAAAATAATAACTAATGGAGGATATTCATTTATAATAAAGCTTATCAAAGAGGAGGTTGGTGATGGGTGAAATAGGTGAAGGAGATTAAGAGTATACTTATGATGAACACTGAGTTATGATAGAATTGTTTAATCATTATATTGTAAACATGGAACTAATATAACATTGTATGTTAGCTATACTGGAATTAAAATTAAAAAATTAATAAAAAATAAAATATATTTTAAAAAAATTCACACTAATAAACTGTTAAACACATTATTTTTAATGTTGTAATAGACCCATTACTTGTTAAAATAAAGATCGTGTTTTTAAAAAATAAGTATTTCTAAAACAAAAAAATAAGAATTATATTTTGTATATTTTTCAAACCCTTTTAATTATGATTTAATAGAAGATAGTTTGATATTCATATTCTGCATTTAATATGTTGTCATATTACATGGCATAAAACTCTGGAGTGCCCCATTCTATACTAATGAGTAAGGAAAGCAAATAAGTCAAATACTCTCATTATTATGAAAATAATTTTGACCTAATGTACCCCTGAAAGATCTTGAAGACACACAGTTTCCCAAATCACACTTGACAAGCTTACACTACAATAAGGATGGAAATAATATTAAAGGAAACATTGTTTGTTTCTGTAACTAACATAATTAATGTAACATTGTGTGTAAATTATCCTCAAATTTAAAAAAAAAGATAGAATAAGTCAAAACATTATATATGAGAAAAATGGAATAATGAAATAATTAATCCCAAAAAAATCCTCCAAGAAATTGGAATAAAGAAACAAATAACAGATAAAATACAGACCAAACAAATGCTATAAAACTTATTGATATAAACACAATTATATCAGCAATTACCTTAAATGTAAATAGTTTAACACACCATTTAAAAGACAAATATTTTAAGAATGTATTAAAAGTAGACCTAAATTATGTTCATAAGAGGTACACTTTACATATGTGGATACAGAAGATAGAAATTGAAAAGATGGAAAATATGTAACATGTAGAACTGATACTAAGTGGTGTTCAACCAAAGAGGTGAAAGTGCTGTATTACTGAAAAGTAGAAAATGCTGATGAAATAAATTGAACATGACACAGAGAAATGGGAAGATATTCTGTGCTCATGGATTGGAAGAACAAATATTGTTAAAATGTCTATATTACCCAAAGTAATCTCCACATTTAATGTAATCCCTATCACAATACCACCAGCATTTTGCACAGAGCAAGAACAAACAATCCTAAAACTTGTATGGAACCATAAAGATCCTGAAGACCCACAAGAACCTTGAATATGAAAAGCAAATCCGGAGGCATCACAATTCCAGACTTCAAATTATATTACAAATCCGTAGTGATCAAAACCGTATGGTAATGACAGAAAAATAGGCACATAGATCAATGGAACAGAATAGAAAACCCAGAAATGAAACTATAACTATATGTTCAGTTAATCTTTGACAAGCAGGAAGGAAGAATATCCAATGGGAAAAAGAATGTCTTTTCAAAAAAAGGTGTTGGGAAAACTGGACAGCAACATGTAAAAGAATGAAGCTAGACCACTTTCTTACACCATACCCAAAAATAGATTCAAAATGGGTGAAAGACCTAAATGTGAGACAGGAAACCATTAACATCCTAAAGAATACAGAGAGTAACCTCTTTGATATTTGGCCATAGCAACTTCTTACAAGATATGTGTCCTGAGGCAAGGGAAACAAATGTAAAAATAAACTATTGGGACTTCATCAAAATAAAAAACTTCTACACAGCGAAGGAAATAATTAACAAAACTAAAAGGCAACCTACAAAATGGGAGAAAGTATTTGAAAATGGCATACCTGATAAAGGAATAATATTCATAATATATAAACTTATAAAACTCAACACCCAAAAAATGAATAATCCAATTAAAAATGGGTAGAAGACATGAATAGACATTTTTCCAAAGAAGACATTCAGATGGCCAACAGACACATGAAAAGATGATAAACATCTTTGGTTATCGGGAAATAACAAATCAAATCTACAAGAAGATATCACCTCACACCTGTCAGGATGGTTAAAATTCACAACAGAAGAAAGAACACATGTTGGTGAGGATGTGGAGAAAGGATAACCCTGTTGAACTATTGATGGGAATGCAAACTTGTGCAGCCACTCTAGAAAACAGTACGGAGGTTCCTGAAAAAGTTAAAAATAGAATTTACCCTGTGATCCAGCAATTGCATTACTAGGTACTTACTTAAAGGGTACAAAAATACAGATTCAAATGGATACATATAACCCTGATGTTTAGAGCAGCATTATCTACAATAGCCAAATTATGGGAAGACCCCAAATGTCCATTGACTGATGAATGGATAAAGAGGAGTTGGTATAGATATACAATGGAATAGGAGTTGGTATAGATATAGAATGGAATATTACCCAGCCACAAAAAAATGAAATATTACCATTTGCAACAATGTTTATGGAGCTATAGAGCACTATGTTAAGCAAAATAAGGCAGTCGGGGAAAAACAAGTACTATAGGATTTCACTCATATGTGGAATTTCGGAAACAAAACAAATGAGCATAGGGAAAAAAGGAGAGAGAGAGAGAAGCCAAGTGGACCCTTAACTTTAGAGAAAAAACTGTTACCAGATAGGAGGTGGGTAGGAAGATAAGTTAAATAGGTTATTGGGATTAAGGTGTGCCCTTGTGATGAGCACAGGGTGTTGTATGTGAGTGTTGAATCACTAAATTGTAGAACTGAAACTAATATTACACTGTCTGTTAACTAACTGGAATTGAAATGAAAACTTAAAAAAATCAAGAGATGTTCATCCTACATGACTCTTACGGATAATATAAAGACTAAAAAAAAAAAAAAGCCAGAGACAAAGGAATTGTGCTATATGTTTTCATTTGTATGAGCTTTGAAGTAGACAAAAATGATTGATTATGCAATAGAATATTGCTTACCACTTAGAGTATAGACTGGAAAGGAGCATAAGAGAACCTTATGAAATGCTGGATAGTTTCTATATTCATAATTTTGTTGTGATTATGCAGGTATGTACATATGTAAAGATATCATATATATACATATATATGTGTGTGTATGTATATATATATATATGGCACTTGTATGTTATCTGTTGTAATATAAATAAACAAATTTCTTAAAAAGAAACTCTGGCAGGAAAATGATAAAACATATCATTCATTTTATAATATTTGAGAGCTAAGACTAATTTTGCCAGTTTAATATATGGAACTGAAATATTGGACCATGATAATATAAAAGGTGGAAGAGAGGAGATTAGAGTATAAAGGTTTTAAAGTCATTTTAGTGATCAGAGGAGGATATACGTATTGATTAGATTATTTTCTATGCATTTTAAAACTTAGGTTCAGGTACATGCATAGAATGTGTTATGTCATGACCAATAGAGTAGAAAATTAAGAAAAAAATTAATAGAATGCAGAGAAGATGGATGAAAGGAAGACACAAAAATGGGGTACATAGAAGACAAAATAAGATGGTAGAAAAAATCCAAATTATCATAATTACAATAAATATAAATTGAAAAAAGACAACTGTTAAAAGAAGCTTTCAGATTGGTGCTATTTCCTGATTCTGAAAGATGTCTTTCTATAACATGGAAATAGATTATTTGAAAACATTAAATGTTATCATTCAATACTTTACTCTGTACCTGTAAAAGAATAAGAGATTTATATGAAAAATTCAACACTAATTCCTTTATTACTTTTCCTTGTAGTCTTACCTCAGCCAGGAAATGGAATCAGATATGATAGATGTGGTAAGTGGCCTTCTAAGTTTTTTTATACAATAAAATATTTCACATATACATACTTTTTGATACCTGAGTGCTAAATAATTATATTTTCTTTAGTACTCTGTGTAAAATATAGGGACATACATATATACTGAATGTTTAAGTATATTTTATTTTCCCTTTATGTCACACACAAAAAAATGGATGAAATAAGGAAAATTAAATATGTTAAATTAAAATTAATGATAGTATTCTAAATTTTGAGACAAAAATAAGCTATGAATTAGTTGAAAATGTGTAATTTTATTTATTTATTTTTTAATATGAAATTTATTGTCAAATTGGTTTCCATACAACACCCAGTGCTCATCCCAACAGGTGCCCTTCTCCATGCCCATCATCCACTTTGCCCTCTCTCCCACGCCCCATCAACTCTTATTTTATTCTCAGTTTTTAAGGGTCCCATATGTTTTGGCTCCCTCCCTCTCCTTTTGTCGTCTGATTGCTGATGCTAGAACAACAGTGGTTAGAGTGGACATCCCTGTCATGTTCCTGATTTCAGGGGGAAAGCTCTCATTTTTCCCCCATTGAGGATGATATTAGCTGTGGGCTTTTCATAAATGGCTTTTTTGATGTTTAAGTATGTTCCTTCTATCTCGATTTTCTCAAGGGTTTTTATGAAGAAAGGATGCAGAATGTTGTCAAATGCGTTTTCTGCATCGATTGACAGGACCATATGGTTCTTATCTTTCATTTTCTTAATGTGATGTATGACATTGATTGATTTGTGAATGTTGAACCATCCCTGCAGCCCAGGAATGAATCCCACTTGATCATAGTTTAATAATTCTTTTTGAGTGCTGTTGAATTCGATATGCTAGTATCTTGTTGAGAATTTTTGCATCCATATTCATCAGGGATATTGGTCTGTAGTCCTTTTTTTGGTGGGTCTCTATCTGGTTTGGGAATCAAAGTAATGCTGGATTCATAGAATGAGTCTGGAAGTTTTCCTTCCCTTTCTATTTTTTGGAACAGCTTGAGAAGGATAGGTATTGTCTCTGCATTAAATGTGTGGTAGCATTACCCAGGGAAGCCATCTGGTCCTGGACTCTTATTCTTTGGGAGATTTTTGATAACTGATTCAATTTCTTCACAGGTTATGAGTCCGTTCAAGTTTTCCATTTCTTCCTGTTTGAGTTTTGGAAGTGGGTGGGTGCTTAGGAATGTGTCCATTGCTTCCAGGTTGTCTAGTTTGTTGAAATATAATTTTTCATAGTATTCCTTAATAATTGCTTGTATTTCTGAGCGATTGGTTGTCATAATTCCATTTTCATTGGTGATTTTATCTATTTGGGTCATATCCCTGTTCTTTTTAAGAAGCCTGGATAGAGGTTTATCAATTTTGTTTATTTTTTCAAAAAAACAACTCTTGGTTTCTTTGATCTGCTCTACAAGTTTTTTAGATTCTATATTGTTTATTTCTGCTCTGATATTATTTCTCCTTTTCTGGGTTTGGGGTGTCTTTGCTGTTCTGCTTCTATTTCCTTTAGGTGTGCTGTTAGATTTTGTATCTGAGATTTTTCTTGTTTCTTGAGATAGGCCTGCATTGCAATGTATTTTCCTCTCAGGACTGCCTTCACAGCATCCCAAAGCATTTGGATTGTTGTATTTTCATTTTCATATGTTTCCATGTATTTGTTAATTTCTTCTCTAATTGCCTGGTTGACCCACTCTTTCGTTAGTAGGGTGTTCTTTAACCTCCATGCTTTTGGAGGTTTTCCAGACTTTTTCTGTGGTTGATTTCAAGCTTCATAGCATTGTGGTCTGAAAGTATGCATGGTATGATTTCAATTCTTGTATACTTATGAAGGGCTGTTTTGTGACGCAGTATGTGATCTATCTTGGAGAAGGTTCCATGTGCACTTGAGAAGAAAGTATATTCTGTCTCTTTGGGATGCAGAGTTCTAAATATGTCTGTCAAGTCCATCTGATCCAATGTATCATTCAGGGCCCTTGTTTCTTTATTGATCCTGTGTCTAGATGATCTATCCATTGTTGTAAGTGGGATATTAAATTCCCCTGCAATTATCACATTCTCATCAATAAGGTTTCTTATGGTTGTGATTAATTGTTTTATATATTTGGGGGCTCCCGTATTCAGCACATAGACATTTGTAATTGTTAGCTCCTCCTGATTGATAGACCTTGTAATTATTATATAATGCCCTTCTTCATCTCTTGTTACAACCTTTAATTGAAAGTCTAGTTTGTCTGATATAAGTACGGCTACTCCAGCTTTCTTTTGACTTCCAGTAGCATGATAGATAGTTCTCCATCCCCTCACTATCAATCTGAAGGTGTCCTCAGGTCTAAAATGAGTCTCTTGTAGACAGCTAATAGATGGGTCTTGTTTTTTTCATCCATTCTGATACCCTGTGTCTTTTGTTTGGAGCATTTAGTCCATTTACTTTCAGTGTTATTATTGAAAAATATGGGTTTAGAGTCATTGTGATATCTGTAGGTTTCCTGCTTGTAGTTATGTCTCTGGTACTTTGTGGTCCTTGCGACATTTCACTCTCAGAGTGCCCCTTAGGATCTCTTGTAGGGCTGGTTTAGTGGTGATGAATTACTTCATTTTTTGTTTGTTTGGGAAAACCTTTATCTCTTTCTATTCTGAATTACAGACTTGCTGGAGAAAGGATTCTTGACCTCATATTTATTCTGGTCAACACATTGCAGATTTCTGCCATTCCTTTCTGGCCTTCCAAGTTTCAGTAGATAAGTCTGCCACTAGTCTTATTGGTCTCCCTTTATATGCTAGAGCGTGTTTATCCCTAGCTGCTTTCTGAATTTTCTCTTTATCCTTGTATTTTGCCAGTTTCACTATGATATGTCCTGCAGAAGATCAATTCAAGTTACGTCTGAAGGGAGTTCTGTGTGCCTCTTGGATTTCAATGCCTTTTTCCTTTCCCAGATCAGGAAGTTCACAGCTATGATTTGTTCAAGTACACCTTCAGCCCGTTTCTCTCTCTCTTCTTCTTCTGGAATTCCTATGATTCGGATATTGTTCCTTTGATTTCATCACTTAGTTCTCTAATTATCCCCTCATGATCCTGAATTTTTTTCTCTCTTTATCTCAGCTTCCTCTTTTTCCATAATTTTATCTCTAATTCAACCTATTCTCTCCTCTGTCTCTTCAATTATTGCTATGGCCGCCTCCATTTTATTTTGCACCTAATTTATAGCTTTTTTTAGCTCCTCATGACTATTTCCTAGTCCTTTGATCTCTGTAGCAATAGATTCTCTGCTGTCCTCTATGCTTTTTTCAAGCCCAGTGATTAATTTTGTGACTATCATTCTAAATTCTGTTTCCATTATATTGCTTAAATCAGTTTTGATTAATTCGTTTAGCAGTCGCTACTTCCTGGAGTTTGTTTTGAGGAGAATTCTTCCATTTCGTCATTTTGGGTAGTCCCTGTGGTAGCTCCAACCTGCAGGGCACTTCCCCTGTGCTGTCCAGAGTAACTTGTGTTGGTGGGCAGGGCCACAGTCTGATCTGATGTCTTCCCCTAGCCCACCACTAGGGCCACAGTCAGACTGGTGTGTACTTTATCTTCCCCTCTCCCAGGGGCAGGCCTCACTGTGGAGTGGTGTGGCCCCTGTCTGGGCTACTTGGACACTGCCAGGCTTGTGGTGCTGCTTCGATGGGATCTGGCCAAGGGCATATTAGAAGGGCGGATCCACAAGGTGCCCAGGGGCGGGATAGGCTGGATGGGCAGGCTTAGCCCACTTTACCATTGGTGGTCCCCTGCGAGAGGGGCCATGCAGCACTTGGAGGGAGGCAGGTCCATCAGAGGGATGGATCCGCAGAAAGACAACTTCGGGCGTTTGTGTGGTGCAAGCATGTTTGGTGAAGGCAACTGGTTCCCTTTCAAATTTCAGCTGGGGAATGGGAGAGGGAAATGGTGCTTGCCAGTGCCTTTGTTTCCCCGCCGAGCTGAGCTCTGTCTTCCAGGGCTCAACAACTCTCCATCCCAGTGTCCTCTTGCCCTCCCCACTCTCTGAGAGCAGAGCTGTTGACTTTTAACATTCCAGATGTTAAGTCCCGCTGGCTGTTAGAACTCACACAGTCTGGCCCCTCTGCTTTTGCAAACCAGACTTTGGGGGCTCTGCCTTGCTGGGATAGCCAGCCCCTCCACTGCCCCAGCTCCCTCCCACCAGTCTGTGTAGCATTGACTGCCTCTTTGCCCTTCCTACCCTCTTCCGTGAATGTCTTGTCTACTCTTGGTTCCGGAGAGTCTGTTCTGCTAGTCTGGCGGTTTTCTGGGTTATTTAGGTACATATGGGTGGAATCTAAGTGATCTTCAGTATGAGGTGAGCCCACTGCCATCTTCCCCAGTTTTTCCCATCTCAGATTAGTTTTGACAATTCTGCAAATTCATGTAAGTGGAAATGTATATTATACGCTTTTTTATAAGATTTATTTTTCACTCAGCATAAAGGTTCAATGTTAATTTTTGGTGTCAGTTGATTTTCCCTTTTATATTGATGTGTAGAATTCCATTGTATGAATATACCACACTTTAGCTTTTCTTCTTTTCATGGATGTTACTATTGTCTGCAGTTTAAGGAGATTATGATTAAAGTTGTTCTGAACATATTTTATAGCAGGATTTTTGTAAGAAAATTCTTGTAAGAGCAGCTTGTAATTAGAATGCAGGTACAGAGATTTCCCATACACTCCCTAACCCCACACATGCATAGCCTCCCACATTATTAACATCCCCCACCAGAGTGGTACATTTGTTAAAATTGATGAACCTGCATTGATACATCACCATCACACAAAGTCCATAGTTTACCTTATGGTTCATACTTGGTGTTGTGCATTCTGTGAGTTTTGACAAATGTACAATGGTGCATAGCCATCATTATAGCATCATAGTGTATTTCCCTGCCCTAAAAATCCTATATGCTTTGTAAAGATTTGTTTACAGTCTTTTTGTGGTCATATGTTTTCATTT